CACTACATACAGGCCTGTGTATGAGCTGTAGGTAGGTGTGTCACACCTAGTCTGAAGTCAATAGTTAATAACATTAAATAAAAAATTGTATACCTCTGCGCGATCTTTGCGGCCAAAACATTAACTATTTTTATCCACCAAATTGTAGTCCTAAGCTAAATGGTGCGGAGTCACTCGAAAAAAAATCCAACTGGTGCTGTCAAAAAAATTCCAACGATCATGGCCAACACCAAAGCTTTCGTCCCTTATATAGGTTCGTTCGAAAGATAAAGTATTAGGATCAATACCCAAAATGTCATACTTAAACAAAATGAAGACTGGCCAAATGTATTCATACCAACAATTCATAACTTCCAGAATTAGCTACTGGGCCCGTCCCAAGGATCAGGGCTCTTGGGCTGAACACACAATCTCGATTTATGAGAATTTATCACCACTACATATCGTCGGATATGTGTTTTCCTTTTTATACTCCAGACCGTGCTCACTTCACCAATCGCAGTTCCTCGATTGAATATGATCTGACTATGAAACAAGCAACTCATGTGATTTCCAATCAACTTCGATCTATTATTACCCCGCGTATTTTTACTGAAAAATACCAACACGTCAATCGCGTGCACAGATATTTTACAGACTGGTATCGTCTCAGTGGATCCACTGACTTCGGTGTCTTCAATGAAAACTCTAGTGCCTTCCGCATACGTCAGTTCCATTTTTGTTGCTGAGCAATCAACTTCGCATTGGGGATCATTTCCAACATTACTTCATCTTCTTGGATAGTCTCAGTTCGATTGAGGCTATTCGGTCGATGAAAACAGGTAGGCACTCATTCTATTTCCTTTCAAATGTAAGGGAGCAGATGAGTGTGCTGGTCGAAAGATCCTATACGATAACCTTTGTATGGGTCCCTTCACATTGCTCAATCCCATGCAATGAGAAAGCGGACTCTCTCGCAAAGGTGAGCGCGCAGAAAGGCGAATTTTATGACAGAAAAATTTCACACGCTAATTTTAACCATTTAGTGCGTCAGAGTACCCTTTCGAGTTGGCAAACCGATTGGAACAATGGAAATCTTGAACGGTGGTTACATTCACCTATTTCTAATTTTTCTTCGAGAGCGTGGTTTAAAGGCTTGGGCTTAAGTCGTGACTTCATTCGCGTGATGAGTAGACTTATGTCCAACCACTACTCGCTAGATGTGCATCTCCATAAAATAAACTTAGTGGACAGCAACATCTGTCGGTGTGGAAACTATTACGATGAAATCGATCACGCAGTTTGGTAATGTACGTATAATGACGCCGCCAGAGAGCGACTTTAGAATACCCTCGAGCCCCAAGGAAGACAACCGTATGTTCCTATCAGAGACGTGTTGGCAACCCGTGATCACGGCTATATGCTGTAGATTTATGTGCTTCTGCAAATGTCTAGTATAAGAATTTAATTCCTCTCTGTCTTTTGTTTCTCTTTATTCGTTTTTGTTTGTCTTGTCCCCACAACTTGATGAGTCTCATCGTCGCCTACTGGTCATCATACCCGGTCGAACTCTAGACAAATCTAGAACCGTTCATACTGGCGACAAAGCTCTGATGAGACAACGAAACCCCACTCCCAAGCTCCTCCCTTGATCCTATCCTTTGACAATGTACCCCTGTAACCTCGGGTAAGCCGCGAGTTTTTTTTTAAATTCTTTATTTAAAAGATTTTTAGCCTTAGGCTAGTTCATCTCTAGTAAGCCGCGAGCATTCGGCCCAACTCCTACTAGTGAATTTTGCTACAAACAAAGAACAATGAATTATTGGCTCCGTAAAGCTAACGCGAGTGAGCCTTCCAAATAAACGAACTAGATATTATTCATACCAATGAAGAAGGACGATTAATTCATTGTAATAATCACTAATGATAGTAAACATCCTCAACAAAGAAAACATAAACATCAGAATAAACGGGTCTGAGGGAAAGCAGCAAGGCATATTCGATCGTTTGACTTTTTTTTCCTTGATTTGTTTTCCGTCGATCTTGTTTTCCGTGCTGAGCACCAATGCTACTGACGCCAGGGAGGCAGCTCCCACACCTGCACCCTACCTATCGACCCATCAACTCATGAACCGGGACCAACGGCTTTACTACGGCGTGATCAGAGATGTTATGCCTCAGAACATCCCGGCGGCGCCGACTGGGATTGAACCCAGGCCTGCTGGGGTGAGCGATAATCATGCTTACCACTACACCACTGGCGCCCTTAATCGTTTGACTTGATACTGATCAATTTTTAACTTGATAATCATTTTAAAGCATATTCCGAACTTTACAAAATATTGGCTCCATCAAGCAATTGCAATCAAATAATGAGAAACTTATAAACGAGTTCTTATTATTGCTCTGGAAAAAAGGCACCTAAGTGTGAATGGTGTTGAAAAAATGTAAACAAAGGAATGAAAATTAACATTTTTCAAACATAATAACTTGAAATTTGAAAGTGATCGACTTTGCACCATTCAGGTCAATCCAAGAATGTCCAGTGAAAATGTCAATTCGATTGGGTACAATCTCAGAGTGTTATTGAATTTTTCCTGCTAGATTTAATTCCTGGCCCTATGTGAACTGGTGGGGCAAAATATCGTTGAACACCCTTTCGTAAAAATCGTTATAGTTACGAATGAACTGAAAATTCAGCACAGCTTTGTTAGAAAAAATTGTGAACCTTGAACCAGGGATTCTGTATATGGAATTATTTTGATTCCAATTGCTTGGAGTATTGAGATATTTCAATTATTTATACTAATGTCAAAATAATGCCCCACTTTCAAAATCGATTTCTATGCAAAAATAAAAATCTAAAAATAGGAAAAGATGTATTTAAAAATAGATCAATAGATGTTCTAGGATTTACGTTAATTTTTAAGTGTCCAACTCGAAATTTACTCAAAAGATAGCACTGTATATAAGCTTTGTAATAAAAATATTCCAATTAGATTTATGGGGTTAAATTTTTGTAATTCATGATTTAACGGGTAGATTTAAGTCAGTGGCGGAAAGTTAACATTTTGAGTATTCTGAAAATAACGAAAAATTATAGAAAAAACCCAAAAAAAAAATCAAATTTTGCTTTTGATTCTTAAGAAAGAACGTGGCAGTTTTTTACATCATGATGGAAAAAAAGTTGAGTATAAAATACCGCAAAATCCAGACCTTACTGAAACGTAAATTTATTTTAAAATCACAGGAATAAAATTAATTTGCTAAGACTTTTGATATATTCTCCAATATTTTTAGAAAAATCAGAAACTATTTTCTCTATAACTTTGTGTAATAACTCATTTAAATTTGAAGTGACAATTTCGAGTTATGAGTTGTTGAAAAATGTTGAATATGCCATTTTCAATTTATTCGCGCGATTCAAAATGGCCGAATTATATCTCAAATGTGCATTATTGACCACAACGAACAATTATGCAAAGTTTAATGCAAATCGGAGAAGGTCCAGTCTGAAATATTTTTTTCTTACATTTGGCCAGGAAATGCTGTTCTTAACCAATGAGCATCGAGGAAGGATCAAAAACCCTGTCAAGACTTCTTGAAATGCCCCCATTTTAAAAGTCCTGACGCAGCCTATGCCTGAGTTCACACTTTTTCCTGCTACGATGGCGAATTACTTTTGTTCAGCCGATGGGTAGCAGTCTCATCGTGTAGTTTTCTTGTGTCGTGATGACGAAAAGTTGCTACGCTAACTGCTGCGTGATTGGAGCTGGCCATAATGAAAAGAGGGTGAGGGAGATTTCAATTTACATAATAATGAAGTTTTAATTAAAGAAGTGATTATTTAAATAGGTGATAAATTGGATCGCTTCAGGATAAGTTAATGGATATTGGGAAAAGCGCTTCATGGTATTTGGCTTAAGCATATTTCAAGAATTTTGGAAATTTTCCACGAAATGAAGCTCTTTTCAAACATTTTGCAATTAAAAGAGACTCGTTTTTTTTCTCTCTCCAACAATGCAGATATAAGGATGCCATCGTGATGATAAATACCTTTTTCTGAGTATTTCACAAACGAGTGGTTCTGGGAAAGTGTCTTGTGTCTTCATGGGAGTTCGTTATTAGCATCGTTGAAGAAGACAAGCTATTATGATGGGCTAATTAAGGTGTAAAGTTTTACGTTTTTGCTCCCTGTCAACCTTTTGAATGCTGCCGGCGTGGTGAGGGCGAAGGCGAAGTGTGTCGTGTGGTGAGGGTTCTGAAAAAAATAACGATGGCCATACACAAGCATATGTACGGGAGTGAACCAGAAGGGCTGCTGGTCTATTTTCACATCGTTTGTTGTGTTTTGAAGGTGAACGGGAGTGAGAGATATAGAATGGAGGGTGGTTGGCTCGTTTAGGATACTCGAGGGTCTGTTTTAAAATAGACTGAAAAGGATAGTTGTGTAAAAAGCTAAGATGAGATTAAGGGTGCCGGTGTTGGTACATGTGCTTCAAAGTGCAAGAGGAGGATTTTCACCGTGCCTAGAGAGTGTGTGTGTGTGTGTGTTTGTGTGCATACGTGTTTGTGTATGAGAGTAAACTGAGTGGAAATGATGATACTGATGACAATGGGTTAGTTGATTTTAGGAGGGCATGTCCTCTTGGTGCTTCACAGCCTTAAGAAATAAAAGCTCCAAACTCTATGTACAATACACTCTCTCCACTCATTTTGTGTATGGCTTCATTATTCCGTAGCCTGGGGAAATTTCTAAGAGCGGCACATAAACACGTTTTCTACACGGACTGGTACATTTTCTTGTTTTTGGCATTGTGTCAAAGTTTTCATTCGAATCTTGGTGGTGAGTGGTGAGTTCAGCGTACAATACGTACAAAAAAAAAAGGAAAAAAAAATCGGGTATGAAAAGTGATCTCAGAAATCAAAAGAACGAAAGATGAAAAACGGGACGAGTACAAATTGCACGTATAAAATGGGTAAGGTAGAACACACTCGAGGCGAGGGTGGGTCATACTCACTTGGTGCATTTGCTGCTGCTCGAGGACTTTGTCCGTATTTAGTCAGAGGTAGGACCGTACCGGGACCTGAGGATGCAGTGCCGGATGAACGAGGGTCGCATGCTGCAAGGCGGCAGCACTGGGCAGTTCACCACCGGCTGCCGAGAATGCTAACGGATGATGCCATAGCTCGTGGCTCCCAGGAAAAAACGGAGTACCTAGGTCTGATGAAAGTTTGCATTAGGATTTGTTTATCTATAGAAATCAAGATTATTCGCTGATTGATTGGGAAAAGAAGGTAATGAAGAAAAGATAAGGACATTTGTTAGGAAAAAACGACGAGCGAGAACCATAATTTACAGATGCGATGCGGTACCATTGGTTATGCTTGAGCAGAATTCTCGCGCAACACGAGAAAAGGGCCTATCATTGTTGATCGTTTCTCTTCATCGATTTTCTCTTTCGCGAATAACCCGACTTTACATGAATTTCCCATTCAGTGTGTTGTTTCTGGAGCAAGCTAACATCATCGTCTGTCGAACTGCGTTGCGAGCTTAGCGATAAATTCGTTTATGTTGCCGTGGTAAACCATAGAGAAAGTCGATGAAGAGAATCGATCAACGAGGATAGGCCCTTTTCAAATGTTACGCGAGAATTATGTGTTTTATTAAATTCTCCATGAAATATGAATAACATGAATTGTATATAAATAGATGCTGAGAGCTTTGTTGTTGTCAGAATTACCTAGAACTTGAAAGAAAGGTAGAAGAACATAAAAGATAAGCTATAGTTTTTAGCTCAGACGCATATTTCTCCATGAACATTTCAAACGGTCTTATCTGCTTTGATCGATTTCTATTTTTACCACATAGTTTGATAAATAAGGTTCTTATCTAGCATCCATAGCGTCAAATACAACAGGGAAAGGTTTTGCAGCTGAGTGATTAACGAAAGAAAAAGTCGATGAAGAGAATTAATCAATGCAGATAGGACCTTTTGAAATGTTTATCTAGATTTATGATCGGAGAATTACACTTACGATTGTAAGGCAAATTTTATGCTGACATCAATGTTCTAGTCAAAAGTAATATCCCATATGTTTTCGATGTTAGCTCAGAGCCCGACTAATCGTCATGGACTTGCAAAATATGGTGTAAAACCAACACCTAGTTGTGGATTATTAGTGGAAAAGACTTTTGTTTGGTTTCGTCCTCGATAGTTTTTCCCATGCGGGATGGTCCTTTTATACAACGGGGCTATTCATCGGCGGCGGAAAAAGGAAGTAAACAAACGACAACACTATGTTGCATGAGTTACTCTGCTCCGTTGGGACGACAGCGGGGATGACAGCTTGTTGGGACGACAACTCGTAGAAAATCGACGAACGAGGGATCTTTATTAAGGGTGATGATCATTTTCGACAACTAGGCGGCGCTAGTAAATTCGTACGCGAACACCTTGCTCTTCAAAGAAGTTTTGTGAAGTTTTTCGATCTTCAATTAAACTTGTTCAACGTGTACAAAGATCGCTGAACTTATAAATTCGCTGCCATTATTTGAAGCTTTCTAAACTTTAAAGAATTTTGCTAATTTTCCGTTTCCTGAATTAAAATAAAAAAAATAATTCTGTGCAATTCCCTAAACTATTCTAATTTTTTTTTTATTAAGAAGCGCTGAACACAAAAGGAGGTCCCAAAATTTTATTAGAGTTTCCTGCAATAAAATTTTCATTGAAATTCATTGAAGTTTGCCATGTTCCCCACTTTTATGTAGTTTTCCAAAACATTGATAGCATAGCTTAGCATATGTGGTTGTACAGATCGTGGGTGACTGTAAAATGGTAATGCGTTTTGCAGAAAATATCGTGTGTTGACGCAGAAAATAACACTTGGGATTAGTGATTTTTCCCACACAAAAATAAAATCTACAAAACAAGCATCGCATTATACACTTGGCCACTTGCTTACAATCGCAGGGGAAGGAAGGAAGAGTTAATCCAACATCTACCTAAGAAGGTAAGGGCAACTCATACTACCTTCATAGGTGTCACAGGAAGGAAAAAGTTGTATAAGTCGGAGGATGATGGATTTGGATGTCGCTTGTACACTGATATTTACAAAAACTCAATTAATGGAAATAAAAATGCCACAACTTTAACGAGCATCCCCTGATTTCCACACATTTCTATAAAGCTTGATGAACTTCTACTAAATAATTTGCATTTCTACGAAATTCACTGAAGTTTTACGAAGCTCACTTGATTTTTATGAAATTCACTGAGCATTTCCAATAATAGCAGTACTCCTACACAATTTTTTGTACTTCTAAAAAGTCTCCAGAACTTCTAAGCAGTTCCTGGAGTTCTAAAAGGTGTTCTAAGGTGCTATGAAATTTCTGAAGATTAATGAGGTTTCTTGATCTTATGTAATATTCCCTAAACTTTAAAAAGGTTTCCCAACAATCTACGAAGCTCCCTGAGATCAATCTCTTAAATCTAAGATTTTTTTGTTGATTTGTATAAAAGGCCCTGAGATTTTTTTTATAAATTCGGTTTAAAAAATACGAAGAGTGTACATTTTGCCCCCCTACTACCGATGGCTTATGGTTTGTGTCATGTCAGCTAGGGACATGGCGTGTCAACTCAATGAAGAAAACGAAGTTCCATAAATTCCCTGATGTTCCAGTAATTAAAAAAAAAATCTTGTACAGTGCCTACCAGTTTTTGGCAACACGGACTTGTTATATTATTTTTCTCAAATATGTTCTAGGGGAAGTGCACCAGTATTGGCAATAGGTTCCTATTTTGGTCACACCTCAGAAAACCAATTAACTATTGATTAACTATACACTATTGCATATGATTTGTACCAACAAACTGAACGCAACTGAACATCTCAAAATTGTAAACAACGTGAAAAATCGTCAAAAGGTGGCCAATATAGGAACATGGCCAATAGTTGTGCATTTTGCCTAGTGCTTTTTGCACATTTACCACATGGACCTCTAACCCATGAAGAGTGGTCCAGTACAATTTCAAATTGAATAAAGCATTCGATGCATTTTAATTTCGCGAGAAGCACCGCATTTTTCTAAAATTACATAGGGGAAATGTCTCTAATGTTGACCTATGGATCTAAGGCCCATCGCTATAAATCTGCTATTTATCAGTTTTATCTAGATGAACGCGTCATTGGAACGGTACTAATTGATATTTTTGGTACCCATTGAAAATTTTGTCGATCGCTGAATTTATGTATGGGCCCAAATTAGGGGCATTGAGGCCGACATTACATCCATTTCTCCTATTTTAAACATTGTAAGCGCCAGATAATAAATTCAAGTAGTATGAGGTTACTTTGATTGATAGCGATGTGTGAAGGAAATTGCAACCATATCGATATAAATCTTCAAAAAAGGCTTGCTTAATCGCTTAAAGATCTCAGCAAGTGCATGACCCGTTTCTTACCATGATTTACTCCATGATACAAGAAGAAGTCCTTGGAATGACAATTTTCTTACCCTTAGAAGTTCTTTTCTGACTGTTTCCAAACTCCAAGCGCGGGAGCGGGATATTTCGCCGAAGGACGTTTCACCGAAGGTCATTTCGCCGAATGGGTGATTTCGCCGTAGAGCAAGCCATTTTCTACGGTTTTGCACTTTTCTCAATTTTGAAATCAGTCTCTAAAAAAGATTAAGAAGATTCGATTTTTCAACTTGGCAAGCTTTTTCAAAGTTCAATCGTGACTCTTCGCTTGTTTGCTTACATTCGTAAATTCGCAAATAATTAAAGATAAGTAAAATGAACAAGCTTTTGACGAAAAAAAAGTTTATAAGTTTTAAATATATTCGAAAGAAAAATATAATGTATATTTTTGGAAAACAGTGATAATGTACCATTCCACTGTTAATAAAATTATTTAAGATAAGCTTGAACATTTTTTTTAATATTGACGTACAGCAATACTTATATTCGTTTCGTCGCTTCTAGAGAGTAAAACAATGGTTCGATTTGACAGCTCGAAATTGGTTTGATTTTGGGGTCTGTCTTCGCATTACCCAGACTAGACCTATTTTATGGTAAACATTTTAGCTCAGAATTTACTCATCAGTTCGCACTGTTGCTTCACGTTGTTTCGGGTTTTGTAACTATTTAGTAATGGAAGCGCCACTATTAGTGGTGTGCGAGTTTTGCATCTAAATATATAAAAACAAATACAGCAGATATAAATAGCTCCCGTTTTTTCCTCTGTTCGGGGCCTAGCACCACTGTGACCAGTAATTTGATCTATTGTAGTTTATCCCGTGTCCTTAGTTTAGTGCATGTCGTATTACTCCATCACTATTGAGAAATGGTGAATTATTCGATTTTTTTACAGTTGCCTTTCTTGCATTTATCGCAAGGATCCGACTCTAATTGAAAGGTCCCGCTATTTATACCCTTCAGAGTGTTGAAACACCCTCCAAAGGCGCGCCCCTTTGTCAGTAAAAATTGGATTCCTTAGCAACAAAATTAAGGAATGACACCGGTAATGACCATGCATCAGAACCATAGTCTTCAAACTAGAGAACAACAAATGGAAGATTAGGAATCACATAGATGAAGACTAACTAACTAATTTTTTCCTTGTTTCAAGATCATCATCGGTGGACAAAGCCGAGTCTTGTCACTATCAACAAGGCATAAAAAGTAACAAGGACTAAGATCTGTTCCTTAAATTACTGAAAAACCAGATAGCCAGACTTAAAACTGGCTATGTAGCTCAGTGCCACTAAGAAATAATAAAGTGAAACCCAAAGGCTAATGTAAAGAACCATCAGGCGAAGTATTTTTATTTGGGCTCTAGCGAGCACCATCCTCGTGGTTTTTCCATGCATACAGCGCTTCCGAATCTGCGCGTGTCACGTGTGGTTTCGAGTAGTTCCTTGGCGGCAACCAATTCTAACTAGGCCCACGTGTGGACCCATTCCACCATCATCATTGTCCGTTTCTGTGACGACGACATTACACAGTACCGACATTCAACAACGGCATCAGCATCGGTGCATAATCTAGCACTCTGCGCCCCCAGACCTGTGTGCGAATCGTGATTACTCCGAGTAATTCCTTGGCGGTGACCAAGTTGATCCTGGCCCACGAGCTACGCTGAACGACAGCAACTACATCAGCGATTGCGGCGTCAACGGCAAAGACCGTCGGTAACTTTACTCAGCTTCTTTTAAGAGAACTCTTCCGTAACAATAACTATAGTTTAGCAAATTTTTACTACTACTCGCTGAGCAATCTACTTATCTGTTTTTTTTTCACTTGACAGCTTGCTTAGAAAGAAGGTTTCTGTTTTCGGCAAAGTTTTTAAGATGAACTAAAACAATAATATGTTAATAAAAGTTTTCTCAAAAATAAAATACGGTTCATATCAGTCACTTGATCATCAATAATCAATAATATAATCTGAATAACTTTATCGAAGATGGAAATCTTCTATCCAGGCCATATGTTAAGCTATGAAAAACAGTGAAAAATAATGTCACACTCGCACTACCTGGTGAACGTGAATGTGAATGATTTCTGAACTAAGCTTCTTTTTAAGTTAGGTCGTGTCCATCTGAACAACTTTGCTGTAGACAAGAGCCATCCTTGTCAGCAGGATCTGTAGATATCGTTAAATAATGTGTATATACTATGTAACTTGATCATTTTCGTTTTTTACGCCATCAATTTTTTCATACACTATCGATAGTTTTGAATACCTTGAATTCTTGAATATCTTTGCAGAAAGAAGCAACATCCTATTTAGTTAGGATCTCGTGATATAAACATCTCTATCATCAAAATATGGGGCATACTTATCACCATCCCTTCCCAACGGGGGAGCTTGGTAAAGGAGATGATCAACCCGATTCGTACCTTACTTAAAAATTGACCTATACAGTTCGAAAAAGTAGTGTAAATTTCTGTCACTATGATGCACATAAATGGAGCGTCACATATCATACAAATTCACATTACAGATCGTGTAAATTTATGAGTCATTTAATGAAATATTCTGAATATTGTATGCAACCATCCATCTTTGTAAGCAATATTTCTTGCAAGTTGCTAGTTTACGTGAAAAGGAAGCTTACATGCTTCAATTTTAGCATGCATGGATATTTAGATCACCATTAAAATTCATAATTTTTTTGTGTGTATGCTTGCTTTCTACTCTCTATATACAATTTTCACACTGCCGTACTCTAACGGAACTATCAACTCTATGCTTTCATCTCCTCATCTATTGTATAAAATGACCACATTAAGTCTTATATTTGACGTTAAGCTTCTATGTAAATCGTTAACTTCACGCATGAAGCAATACAAACATGTTTAGCTAAAATGCTGGTAAAATACGTTTACTCGGTGGTAAAAATTTTATCAGATTTAAACTGATAGTCGAAGAGAAATCGATTGAATACGTTCAGTGAAGTGTTTTGGTGAGAAAATCCAGTGAGATTAACATTTCAATTTTGGTTACCAAAAACAGTCACTGGCATCAAAAGCCGTCATTTAGAGAGCATGCATAAAGTGCATCACGTAACATTTAAGGAAAATCAACCCCCCTCCCTCCTTTTGTCACGTTTTTACTACACCTAATAACATTGCTTGTCACACATTTGTAAGCCCCTCCTTTTCTCTTACAGCGTGACGTACTTAAAGGATGCTCCCTTGCCATATTTGCTGAAATAATAAAATAAAAACATTGATTAGTTTACCACGGCTGCCTTAAATCATAACAATCCATCGTTTACATCGTGGCACACAGTGTACAGCTGATTAGTCGCTTTGGCATACTCCCATTTAAATGGACATTTCCATAGAATTTGTTTTACTTGTGATGAAATCCAGCTCGTGAGCAACGAACTTGATGCCTACATGTTTTTGGCGTGTATGACAGACATGAGCTCCACATGACGAAGTAGAGCTATACACCCTACGCATCAATCAACACACGTCCCCAGCTGAGCCTACGAGAGTCGCGCGCTTGAATATAAGTAAATTCCATAGACAACTTAACAAACAGTTCAAAATAACCAATGTACCGGTCGCCGGTGAATGTCCTGCTGATTGACTACTAAATTAATAACTTATTTCCGAAGCATTTATCCATCGTTAACATAGTTCTGGGAACGTCCCACAGTAGTGCGTAGCATTGAAGGTGCCATCAATTTGTGCCAACGGTGCCATTCCCGGTGCCCTAGAGGGGGTGTAGGTACTATAATCGGTGTTTGCTTGCGCTGGGTTCTAGCAGGATGGGAACTAAACTATATATGTATCTACTTAAGAGGGGGAAATGTGGTGGCTTGGTGTTGTTCGTTCAGTTAAATATTTATACAGTTTTCTGTTGATAAGAATATATAAAAGTACATGGCGCGACAGCTACCGGCGTTGGTGAGTGATGGCAATAGGTGCCAAGTATAATCAGGTGATTATCCTGTGACCTTTGGAGCCAATTGGTTCATTGCCTTGCACTACGTTAATGGACGGGAGAGAAACGCGGGCATGAAAGTGAAAGAGTCACAAGTGATGAAAGAGGAGAAGGATGAAAGCTCTACAATGGGGTCGATACTGAGATAGAGACGTGAGTGAGGAAATAGATAAAGAGAAAGAGGGATAGAGAGAGAGAGAATAACATAAAAAGTACTTACGTCCAGCAGTAAGTGGGTGCATCAATGCAGGATGTGCAGCTGTGGCCGCTGTATTAGGTTGTGGTTTTGGTTTGCTCACTTTAGTGTTACTCTTGGCGAATTCCAAGCGTATTGTTTGGGGCATATCAGGATCGAAGCGTACACCTTGCTGCAATATTTATATTCGGTTTGATTTTGGGGATCGTAACATTTGAGGTTGTGGTTTGATTGTTATAAGTACAGTTGTTTTTATAGACGACATACTTGAATCAAAAGAGATAGTTGGAAGAAGAACATACAAACAAAAAAACGCATTTCTCGTAGTAGTAGTAGTTGGTTAATCACGAAACAAAAAGGGTTTGTAAAAGTATCAAAAAAATATGTTTAGACAAAAATGTTTCAGCAAAAAAAATCTCCCAAATAACGGTTGTCGCGGGTCGATGTTCGGAGGAATCTTTAGTTTTAGCACCTAGCGGTAGAAGGTTGTAGCTGTTGGTATTTTGCACTTTCATAAAATTACATTAAAGTTTTTATTTTTATATTAAGTATTGTTTTGTTTACTTGGATTGGATTTAAATGAGTTTTTGGTACAATATTGTCTTGCATTGTTTAAGTAATTTTTTTAAAGTTTGTTTTCATTAATTTTAACATTGTTCCGTGTCTAATAAAATTATACGAATTCAATATAATTTGACTTTAACTAACTTCAGAAGTGAAACCATACGTTTACTCTTAGGAACGTGTACTTTATGTAATTTAAGCAGAATTAGTTGCGCATCAATATGAAAACACAAGAATTACAAACTGCACTAGGATTACATTGAAAGGGTTTTCTTCATTTAAACTCTTTGAAAAGTTACGGGTGCAATGCAGGTGGCAAATATGGAATACGATATTGTAGAGCTGGATGATTCGATGGGCATAAATTTCACCAAAAGTTGGATTGTTTTTCCAAAGCTCGATTCCCATTGACCCGATTGATTTCAACACATGAATATTAAGTTTTTATTGCATAGGAAACACTTTAAAAAGATCTCTAGATTTTTATTTAACCATCTAGAAATTGAAACACCGGAGATCTAGAAACTATCAAGGATACTTGAAATACTGAAGTCCATCCCTCGAAACCTTGTGTACTTTCTACCAACGCTTACTGAAATCATTTTGAAAACCTGAAAGTCTACCACAATGCGGTGCGGTATTCGACCATTTGGTATCTGATGGCGGTGGCGACGAAATTTGACTTGGATGTGGACCAAATTGACGTGGTTACCGTGGCACAGACGAATTGACCCGCTATTGCATTTGCCGTGAATGTAGTAAGTCAGTTCACTTCGAATCCTGGCAGAACGCATTGGGAATCCTGATAACCGCAGATCGACTAGTGGATATGTGTTCACGATGCAGGGAGCAGCTGCAGCCTGAAACGTGAAGAAGCAACCAACAGTGACTCTTTCGTCGTGCGAAGCGGAGTACATGTTACTTTCACAATGCATTCAAGAAGCCATGTGGTGGAGCAACCTGCGGTCAGAATTCGTCAACTGTGAACCGGTTCCGATGTTATGCGACACCCATTCAGCAATCAGCATCGCAAACAATGGATCCTATAATATCCGTAATAAGCACGCTATCATTTCGTGCACCAGAGTTTAAGGAACGGAGTGGTTAATCTTGATTACACCTTCACTTCAAACCAACCGGCAGATGGGTTCACCAAACCGATGACGACGCGGAACCAGCAGAAGTTTTGTCGCTTCGTAGGCGTCGCGGAATAGGGAGGAGTGATGTGTAGTAACCCGCGACTACGATGGTTTATTACGTCTAAACAACTTAGGTAACTAAGAATAGTCGCTTAGCTATTCTTAGTTACCTAAGTTGTTTAGACGTAATAAGCCATCATTCAATTTTCAACCATCAAGCCAGAAGCACTCGTTTTTCTTTTAACTCTGCTAAACTTTGCACTAGAAACTTCTCCCAAGACACTATATGCCTAAAATTAAAGGTTTTTGAGTAATTCCGAGCGATCACGTTTTACGCCGTTTGGACCACTGTGCTTCCTTGGAACCGGGTTAGGAACCACACAGCTAACCGGAAACTTAGCTTCGAGAACAGATAATTCGCTAATTCAAAATGGTAGCTTCGATAACACAGTGTTACACAACAACAAAACTTATCAAGTGACCTATTGTAGTATGTTAGTCTAGTCGAGAACACCATGAAATCACATTTGAAATTGTTCTAACACACCCAAAATAAAAAGTTATTAAATTTGGGTAAGTGACCACATCAAGAGTAACTCAAAATTTTTTAAGCCGATTTTTGAATTTTAAACATTTTAGGAAAGCAAAAAAAGGAAGAATTTTTGAAATATACACATATTTATCGTGATTTTACTGAACTAGTTAATTGAGATTTTTGCAGTTAAATATGATTTTTGTACAAACAAATCGCATTTTTCAAATTTAGACGCCATTCGGATGCCCAAAGCATGACCCTCCCCTTTACTAAATTTTTTTTTTTTAATTAAATTTTATCACATTTTAAATCGCATTTTTTATAACTTTAGATGCTATTAAGGTGACATGATAAACATGATCTTCTTCTTCATCACGAATTGCTCTGAGGCTTTCCTCAAAATTTGAGCCAAATCGGTCAACATTTACCTATTTGAAGCTACAACATTTTAACCTTCAACTCGAAAAAAATAGTTTCAAATAAATCAAAGAAGAAGAAGAAGAAGAAGCTTCAAATAATTAGTTGATAACATCCATACCTCTCACGCCAGAGCCACGAGTTCAAATTTCAACCCCGGATAAGTCACCCAAGTTAAAGTGACTATAATAAAAATAGCTTCAAATGGGTAAATGTTGACCAATTTGGCTCAAATTTTGAGCAAAGCCTCAGAGCAAGTCGTGATGAAGAAGAAGATGATGTTTATTATGTCACCTTAATAGCATCTAAAGTTATAAAAAATGCGATTTAAAATGCGATAAAATTTAATTAAAAAAAAAAAAATTTTAGAAAAATCACCATAAATGTGTACATATATTACAAGTTCTGATTTTTTTCTTTCCAAAACCGTTTTATAATTAAAATTGGTTGAGAAATGATTGAGTTGCTCTTGATGGTATGCGATTGCTAACCCAAAATCGTTTTTTAGGGGCTGTTCGAACAATTCCAAATGTGATTTCTTGGTGTACTGGACTAGACTAACAATCTACAATAGGTCACTTAAAAAGTTCATTCTAGTTTTATCATTCGTGACACTGTGTAATTTTAACTGCAGTACAGCTTATGCAACTAAATGTTGGGTTAAACAAGTATTTTTTCTAGCCTAACCTAATCTGTAGCTTAATTTGTTGGTTTTTTTTAATTGATTTGTTTTCCTTCGATCTCGATTTCCCTCGATCTTCTTTTTCTTCGATTTTGTTTTTCTTACTGAGTACCAATGCTTTCGACGCCAGGAAGGCAGCCCCCACACCTGGACCGTCCATCAGACACCATCAATTCATGGACCGGGAACCAACGGTTTTACTTCCTCAGAAAATTTTGGCGACGCTGACTGGGTTTGAACCCAGGTCCTTTGGGGTGAGAGGCAATCACGCTTACCAATACACCACCGGCGCCGCTAATTTGTTTGCGGGGAAGCATCTTAAAAATATCAAGCTATAAAAATTAAATCATACTTTGAGAGCTCTGATTATTTACAAGAGTTAAACAACAACATGTAGACCAGGCTCACTGTAAAGGGCCACCCACATTAGATACGTTTGCGTTGTGTTGACGTAAATTTGACAGCTAGACAGTAGATTTAGCTGTCACTTTGCCGCAACGCGTCCGATCCGGATCTAATATGCGTGGGCCTTAAAACTCGGCAGTTCACAAAACTCATTAGAAACTCAAGTGATTTTTTTCACAAAGGTCCCAGTAGTTCACTAATGCTGCCACTTGAAACCACCTTCCTGAACCTCCGGATATACCCTTGAAGCTTCCCATATCTCACTAAGCTGCTAAACCATGTTAAACCTACCCTGGAGCTAATTTCGCAGCCATATCAAATGTACATCTGAATTAAACTAAGTTAAAATTCGCTCACTTAGATCCGTATCCCATTATGGTTCAAAGAATCTTCCCTTCTTCGTGTGTCAGCCCATGCATTGCACCCGTTGAAGAGCTGAATAATTGCATTCACTTAACATTTTTGTTTCAGCGTCGTATTAATTGATGTTCCGTGTTATTTCCCCACCTTAAGCTCTAATTTCATGTGGGTTCGTATTGTTCAGATCCTTCTATCAACGCTCAAAAATCAAAATACTTTTTCCGAGTTGTTGGTTTTTGTTTAGACATGATCGTAGAAGTTTTGCTTTAGGTCGTTAATTGATTTGTTTTGTAATATAAAAATTGAGCAAGGTATAGGTAGTAGAATAAATAAAACAGTGTGAAAATGGTGCATAATGGCTTTATCTCCCTTTTTTGAATGTTGCTATTTTGGATATTGTTGCTTTTGTTAATCTATAATTTGAATTTTGTTTTTGTGAAACATTTTTTTTGTAGCTATAGGTTAGTGGAAATGTAGGCTTTTCAAACAGATGGAACTCAATGTTACAGGGAAAAAACGAAAACAATTATGGTTACTAGTTCCCAATTCATGAAAGTATAAATAACCGGTTGTTTCATAGGTTGAAATAAACAAAGGAAACAAGAACAAAATTCAAATTTGGAAAACCGAACACAAGAAAATAAATGTACAAAAGAAATGCAGAAACGAGACCATCTTGGGTGACATGATTTGATACGAGGTTGTCATTCGCGGAGGGTAGTGATGAATTTTGGATCTGTTTGCACGCTGTGAAACAATTTGTTTTTGATTGATTGAGTGGTTAACTTCCGGGTGTGAAGTGAAGAGAGAAAGGTGTGAGCAAAAGGAGTGTTTTTCGAGTGAATTCAGTCGCTTGAGAGTGTTCCAAACTCGCCTTGCTTGAGGTGCTACCACTAAGTGTTCAGGATTGTACTTTGAAACGGTTTGCTTTCCTAAGAGGTTGCAGAGACTTGATCAATTGAATAAAAAAAAAAAAAACTTCTGGCTTTAATTTCACCGCGAAAAAAACATCCTAGGAATTAGTTTTAAGTTGGTGAGTGCACTGCCTATGGGATACAACCAACCGATACAATAAAATACAAAAAGTACAAAAAACCAAGGAATACTAGGGGGCACGTTTAGTCTGGTATCTAAAATTTGGAGCTTACGAAAGATAGCAGAAGAAGGAAAGTGCTATAGCAATGAAATTACCTGCAGATCCTGTTTGGCCGCCTCGGCGCCGGAACGTGTGCTGAACGTGACAAAGCCCACTGGCTGCAAAAAGAAAATATTCAATAGATTTTTCCATCACTTTTAATCCAATTATCCTTAATTCTAGGCGCCGCCGTCCGGCTACGGTATCTGATAACGTGCGTGTGTGAGTGCTTGGACGTTGTGTCGGCTTGGAGGGGGAGGGCGCCGATGATGGAATCGCCTTGTACTTACCGATGCTGTCTTGCCGTTTTTGCTGGTAACCTTCAGCAGCGATCCTTCGTAGCCCTCGTAGGCTCTGAACAGCAGGTACAATTCCCTGGGCTTTGCATCCATCGGCAGTCCACTGACGAATAAGGTGCGCACCTGAAAATAAGAAAAAAGGAAGGGAAAGTGGAAAGATTATTGAAAGGAAAACATTTCGGGATACGCTGATCTTTCATTAGCTGGAACGGTTTATATTAAATTTTAATTTTTCTGGGATCAAATGAAAATGGAACGAGATGATTATACTAAATTTGTCGGGTGCATTTTGACAACCATACATAGTTTTTTACACAGATCCTCTTTCACCCAAGTTAGATGTAGAGTAGATTTACCAATTAGTGGAAATCTAAAAGTCATTTGGGAAACAACTGTGAAAACAGAAAATCACCATCATTTTAGTTAAAACAGACATAAATCTAAACCTTTGGATATTGCAGCACCATGTTACAATAATTTGATATTATTACGTTTTACTTCTTATCGACGTTAGACTCTTAAAGTTTTGTATTCATCAGCTGTTAGGCATCAGTGGCGTAGTGGGGATTAACTATACCCTTGGCAAATCATGAAAATTAAATAAAGTCACAGGACCAATTTGGAATTCGTGATTTCTTGGATGTTATAGATTGCGGATGCTTTTGGTTATCTCAGAAACTAAAAGAAAATTTTGTATTTCCCACAATTATAGAAGCTTCTGCATCCAATTATTTCTTCAGTAATAAGAAATTTTATTTATTCCTTATTGTAGATACTATCAGCAATTGGTGGTTTCTTAAGGAATAAGTATTTTCTTTTAATTATTTCAATGTCCAGAACAATTTTCAAAGGTTTAGATCTCACAAGTTGGAAAAGAGCCCGGCTGGTTGGTTAGCATCCAACATCCAAAAAAAATTTCCTGCATATAAATTCACATAGGAACTCCACATAACAATCGACATTATTGAATTGAATTGTATTAGGTACCATAATACTGTCGAAACTCTTCGCAATTTTTCCTTGGAGTTTTCTCAAGAATTCAATTTTAATCATCCTACAGCATGATCATAGTTCATGTAAGAATTTGCTCTGGTATTTCCTTAACATTTTCTCCATGTCGCTCCAGGAATTCCGAAAATCCTCTGCAATTATCATTGAATTCTTAATGATTCTCACAAGATCTTGCTTAAAGCTGTCTACGTAATTAGCTTTAATTTTCTTGGAATATTTTCCTCAATTCTTCTAGAATTGACATGAAACTCTCGGATAAATTACCTCGTAATTATCGTATTATCCTCATCTGCCTCTAACTTTAATTATCAACAGTAATAGTAGTAATAGTAGGAATCGGTATGAAAGTAAAGTGCTACTGACGGTGTAGTGGAACGTGTTGACATTCGCAGGAAAAGTCCCCAACCGGGACGAAATCATGATTGAATCCTTCCAGGGAGGTCATTTCACTTGGATGATTTCTATGCTGTCGCTTTCCTGTCCGGAGAATTCGCCTGCGAGCACGTTCATTCCGTGCCTCCAAGCAACCGAACAGGACGATGAAGCAGAATCTAGTGACCAGAACATGCGCCCGGAAGTTGTAAGACCGGGTTCTGACAAAGTACAGACGAAGCCTTCTCATGGACAACGAAACCTATGAGCATTTCCAGCCCAAAATGCAAACCGGTTGGACATGAGTGCTTCCGATTTGATTGAAACATCACTCATATAAGAGAAATGGATGTAGTGTCAGCCTAAATGCTCCTAATCAAAATGGGCGTATCAAAAAATGGATTAATTTTTTATTTCCAAAAATCATAACATGAAAACTATTGATATGATTAAAATGACAGCTGAAAAGAAGTTGTTGGTAATTAAATTTCACTAAACTACACCATATTTGAACTTTGTACGCTGATGGTCATTTCCCATGTTAAATCGTGAGCTGAATCCAAAAATGTAGTCAGAAAAAATCTCAGTAGACTAGTTTTCTAGAAATGTCACTTAATAAAATTGGTTTACTTAAATACAAATATCTCTGGCTATAAATAAGCAATATCGATTATTTTAATGCCAAATTAAAAGTGAGAAAATTTGCTTTCGATCAACTGGTTACTATTTTTCAGTGAGATTAGTGGTATTGTTGGCACAACCACTACAAACATACGATTGGAGGTACCCTTAAGAGACTGGCAGCCAGAGCAAGTTTAGCTAAGCAACACGAGCACCCTATAACGAACCCTAAACAACCGTATGACTGGGCAAATAGTCGCAAAGAGGATCTTCAAACAAAAATGTCATTTTGTTATGTTTTTACGTAGGAATACAAAAAGGCTGACGAGGAATTTGATCCGATTTTTAAGAAAGTGAAACCAATTCCTGGAATTCGAAATTATCATTGCTATATTCCACTTTCAAGCAACCAAATTATTGATCAAATTAAAACCCCCACCCCCCTCCCCACCCGTAGCATATTTTGCAATACCTTATAGGTACATGACCGGTCACAACTTCTGATACCACTCTCCCCCCACAAATGCTATCATTAAAATGTTGAAAATGTATCTCTCTGCCCCCTCTAGCAACACCCATGGATTAAATGTCAAAAAATGAATGTCGTGGAAAAGTTGCGAAGCAGAAACTCAAAGAATTCGCCCTTTTGGCTTATCGCCCTTGCAGGGGATAATGGGAAATGCGGAAAGATGGATTTTTTTTATATGGCGAAATAGCTTTAATATTTGATCAATCAAATTCCATAGCGTTGAAATTATTTGAATCAAAACTCCTGATTTTATATTCCTCAAAGGATATTTCAGAACACTCAACCATCTGCTTTTAGTGAAGTAACAGCACAACAAAACACCGCTGAAAAGCACAGGAAAACTGTGAGACGGAAAAGTTGCTTCCAGATTAGGCATTGTCACTGAAGCGGGGAATGAAATTAAATTAATTAGTCAATGCCAAGCGAATTTCAAAGTGCTGGAGTGGTGAAGCGAGTGTTGGTCGATTTTTCAAATTGTTCAGCAGTTTTCAATTTGAATGACTTCAATACACAACATTTATTGGGCAATATTGGGAATCAGTTATGGTGCCTACTTCCAACCCCACTCGAACAAGTACAGGGTAGGCCCGAATTACTGAAGCAATTTTTTGAGTGCAGCGTTTGAAAGTACTTAAAATTGGATAGTATCGCCAGTTTGATCAAAATTGATCCAGAAATGGGTAAACTATGTAATGACTTATAATTTGATTTATGAAAAACATCGTGTCGAGTTCAAACTAGTATTTTCCGGATTTTATCCCTTATAAATTGCGATCAGCTTCTTTGCCGGATGCGAATCTATGGACCTATCCCATGTGTTATGGTTTAAACACACCGAACTAATGAAGACTGACAAATTCTAAATTCCAGAATGAAATTTTCAAATTCCTGAGGTACGTGCCGCTTGCAATGCCTTTCCTAGAAGGCTCAAGTTAATCATAAATGCTTACGGGGATTTAATTGAACTGTAAGTGTTACCTGTTATACTTCAATGTATTAGTAACAAAGCCCAGAAAGAACCAATAAAAAATATCTTTCCGATGCAAAGTTAATCCTTTTGTTTTTGCTCTACTTATTTGGGCCACCTATATTTGTGATCCCGAACTCTAATATTTCCACAGCTAAAGGGAAGCTAAATATGCATGCATATCGAACCACTTAACTCTAGCCGGAGTAAAATGTGCTTAGCTTAGTCGTAAAACTATGCTACACAAAAACATGCATAAAACAAGCAACATGGCAAATTCTCACATCTTCCGTGGCCCGACGAACATCGGAAGCATCAGTGACGTGGGAAATTGGGCAGATGTTGCATATATGTAGTGAGTCATTAATTTCTACCAGTGTAATATGCTCATCATTTATTCAGCCATATTCCGAGGCGTAAGTATAAGGTGCGACCACATGGTTCTTCTTTGTGCTATCGGTCGAGGAAAGGGGTCCTGACTCCACTTTGTGCTTTCATACGTGCGTCCTCCCCCGTTCCCATACATATGCGATAAATCTTTGTTAAACAAGTTGTTTAAAATTTCATTGAGATACTTCGCTGGAACCTCCGTCCGTGCAGGTAGGCAAAATGCGGGACACATGTGCTTCGGACAGATACGGTCCCCAACCCGTCATTATTCATAGTTTCAGGACGGAGGTGGTTCGGAAGGGTCCACTGCACTAGAATATTGAATTAATTTCGTCAGATACTCTGAAATATATACACTCAAACACGTACACAGACACCTACTCATCATCACATAATTAGATAGAGGTTTTGCGTAACAGAGGATGGTTGTGAAATTTTGATTCGATGCGAAATAATTTATCAACCATTCAGGAGCCTTTGCCTTGGCAGCTTGACATAATCTCTCCGGGAGCGGCGTAGGGTCCTGCTAAGCTAGATGTGGATAGTGACTCTTGGGTGAAGTTGCGGGGAGAGGTGTTGGTTATAACAAACTTTGCCAAAGTTTCACACATCGGTAAATAATCCAGTGACGAAGGTGTCAAATTTTCTACCTCGGCGATGGAAATTGATAGGCATGAAAGTTGCAACCGGGAGGGATCCAATTACTTTAAGGTGATAATAAATTTATAAAGTTCGGCTCACAAGAGTGCTACAAAAAGATTGGTTAATTTTGCTAGTTAATTTTGAATTTCTGCCCCAAAATTTCATACGGAAAATCTTGGTTGATAAAAATAAACTTATTCCGAAACATACGAATCATCTATCATGATTCATTGATTTACGCTAAACGCTATGTGGCCAATGAGAGTAAATCAGAATTAATTCAAGGTCGACTCAAAACTACAAAACATGGGGCTACTCAGTGGATAAATAAAATGATCCTCGATTCTCCTCAAATATCGACTAAAATTTCAGGAAAATTGATTAATATTTTGCTAAGTTTATGACTAACTATACATCTATACTGAGAAAAGGTAAATCGATTCTAAATCAGGTCCTGATCGCAAAATTTTAGCTCATATCGTTACGATCCTATACTGCACTGGCCCTTTGAAGTTTATTTAAGAATTACTATGGGAAGTGTGTTTTTTATTTCCATCCTCCTAGCCTTTTTCCATAATGATGACCGGATAA